CGTAAGGAACCTACAGTAATGTTGCTTGAAAATATTAAGCATGAAATGAATTGATTAAATGTTAACATTCTGGGCGTATGCGAAACTAATAATATATGAAGGTGAAGAAAAAAAAATGTAAGGGTTAATACTAAATAATATCATTAAGAAATGTGTCCTGGGATAAAACCATTCTCGGACAAAATACTTTTAGTTAAACTGAAGTGAGGAGTATTTCAAGACTGCAATAATTGATGTATACGCACCACAATCAGATCGCGGAGGATGAAATTGTTAACTTTTCCAGTTCACTGAACCATGCCAAGGTTCAATGTACATCACAGGAGATCACTATCATCATGGCAGAGCTGGATTACAGTGTCGGAAATGAGCGAAATACATGGGAAGTTCGTCCTAGGGACCCGAAAAAGCGCTGCGAAAAGTGCGCCAAGTGGTGCACAACGAATGATCAAAATAATTACTTAGTTTAAGGAGCCCCCGTGACTCATCTTGATATCTAGAATCCCTGGAGGAAACACGAAGAACCAGATCCTGATCGATTGCTTAACTATTAAATAAGGTTCGGAAAGGCAGTTGTATATGGCTAAACGTTCCCAAGAGCCGACTGCGGGAGTGATCATCTTCTAGTATGCGACATCAGAGCAAAACTACGGAAACTAAAGAAGACCAAAACAACACCTAAATTGCAATACGACAATATGACCTTAGTTGCAACCAGATGTGCATCTCTATCTATAAATGGCAGGATGTGTGTGTGTGTGTGTGTGTGCGTGTAACGAATGCACGGCCGCAATTTTCGACGGATTTGCACCAAAATTTACATGCACATGCTCCAAGTTAGCGAGAAGGCCAAGACCGACATTGCATTTCCCAACTACCATCGCTAGTGGAAATAATCGATTTTTTCATGCTTCTACGGTACTTTTCATGTAGTTTGCGGCCATTTTCTAATGGCCAGAGTGAGAGCCTATAGCTGGCTGCCACGAATAGGCAGGAAGATTCTATTGGCCAGCGTGAGAGCCAACAGCTGGCTGACACGAATGTTAACTAGCATGCTAGCATGCAAAAAAAATCGATAGCTGCATTCTTCACAAGTGGGAAAAATTTAAATCTGCATGACACTTTACTCCAATTGGCTTATTTACTTGCTTAAACTCAACGTTGATTCTGATTCCGCAGAACTGGGTTGGGTGTGAAAAAGTATTTGTTGTTAACATTCTTTTTTCATTCATTTTTCCAGTTACGAGTCTTTTTTTAAAGCTGATCGTTTTGTGTTCATTTTGTTTAGTTCTGTTTTCGTAACAGATTTAATGTTTAGTATAGAGCTTAGAAAAAATTCGCAGTGTGGGATAGGCAAGAAATAAGGCATGTAGCAACATCAGCACGGAAAAGGGCACTCCATTAAAGGCAAGGAAGGGCAAAAATATTTTAATTCAAGTGATAGCGATTGCTGTATTAGTCGTACTATTTTTTAATCAAGCACGGGCAACGCCGGGCCATGCTGCTAGTAGGCAAATAAACATGACCTGAATGAGATAAATTCAAAAGTGGAACAAGATGAAAGGTGTACTAGTGGCGTCGGCAGAAGAGTTTATCCCAAGGAAATCGAGATAAGAAAGAAAAGACTGCATGACAAAGTGAATTCTAGAAATGATGATAAAATGACAAGAAATAATTTCAAATCTATTTTTTCTGATTGTCAGTAAAATCTTCCTCTTGTGTATATATTCTATCCAGGGTGTTCTAAGTATATTTCTGCGAAATCTCAGCTATCTTTTGCTTTAATGATCTTCTTCGTCTGTGAGAAGATTATCCAGCATTAACTGCATTATTTCATTCTAGTTAATTTTCTCTGATGTTTAATAATTTATTAGTTATTGGGAAGGCATTATTCGCTAGTTTTCGTCATCAGTTATAAAACTGCCAAATAAGGCGACTACTGTAGTTAAATTAATAATATTAACAAATAATCTGTGGCATGAGCTTATCTCTGACTAGGTACTCCTTTATTGTCTACAATCAAATAAACAAAACCATAGAAGATATAACAAAGAAATCATTATTTATATATGAAATTCTGAAATAACCGTAAGTCACAGCCTCTAAAATAGACATACATTGACCGATCGGAATGGAATTTTGAGGAGAAGTTAAAACTTTAAAAAGTAATAAAAAGAAATTTTCTTAAAAATTATTGCTTACCATAAAGTCCTATAAAGTTAAATTAAATTAAAGAAATTATTAAAGCCCGAAATAGGGTTTTTGTCAAAGTATTTTCCAAACAAATCATCTTATTCAAATTCCATCGATTGGTTTGTACAATTGAACGAAACGTTGACATCTCGACAAAATGTTAGCAATAACTTCTTTTATATGTTGCGTCCTTCCAGGGCGTAAGTGATCATGACGCGCCACATCTTCCTATTCCTCGTAGGTCTTAATAAGTTTTGTCTTTTTGTTATTTCTCCTAAACCCTCCTCTGTCATCTATTTGCTCAAGCTCACCCAGTACGTTACACGCCACTTTCTTCTCTCCCTCTTTCCCTTAATCTGTCCTGTCAGGTTTTCCAAGCCCTTCTTCCACATTAAGGGTCCCAGAAATTTCAACTGTCTCTTCCCGATATTATGTATTTCTTTTTTGTTTCCATTTTCTCCAAACTTCGTTGTTGCTCACATATTCAGTCTATGCTATCCTCAGCATCTTTCTTTAGAACCACATTGCTTCAAATCTCTTCTTCATCTTTGAAAGGATTATCCAGCATTCGCTGCCATACTGTGCGACATTAACAGTTCAGTACTATTTTCTTTGTTTCTAACGAAAATTTTCTGGCTCTTAATACTCTGCTTAAGCTTTGCAACGAATATTTGGCCATCCCAAGACGTCTTCGGATGTCAGCGTCGCACGATCCGTCTTCTGTTTAAAAACTTAGCAGATATTTAAATTTTGATACTTAATTTTTGTATCGCCTTTTACTGATAACCATGCATTCTGTATTCTTGTATTTTATGCTTTCTTCGCGTTTTCTTACGCTATATTTTGTAGGAGCTTTTGTAGTTTCCTTTCTGTATCTGTTATCAATATTGTGTCGTCTGCATATCTTGTGTTATTAAGATTGTGACCGCCAATAATGATTCCAGGTAGGACTCCTAATTCTCTCAAAAATCCTTCGCTGTATAGATTGAATAAATCCAGTGAGAAGACACATCCTTGTCTTATAACCATTTCTATATTTGTGTGTCTGCTGAACTCATTTTCTATCCGCATGAGGGCGGGTTGCTGCCAGTATAGGTTCTTGATTATTGTATCATCCTTCCCGGATATGTGAAAGTTACTAGTGTAGAAAGGACAATGACATTTATGTTCCGTATCCCTTCAGGGCATAAGGAATAATGGCCGTTCACATCCTCCTCTCCCTTGCAGCTCTTAATAAATAATTTCGACTTTTTGCTATTTCTTCCAAAGCCTGTTCTACTATCCATTTACTCAAGTCCGCCAAGTATATTACACGCTGCTTTCCTTTGTCTCTCGTTCCCTCTATCTGTCCTCTGAGTATCAGATTTTCCAAGCGCTCCTGACTCGTTACGGGCACCAGAAATTTAAACCCCTTCTCGTCTCTGCTCACATATTCGGTTCATGGTATCCTCAGCATCCCTCTGTATAATCACATTTCGGTTGCTTCAAGTCTCTTCTTCATCTTCTTCATTCGCAGGACAAATATCAGGTAGCAGTTCAGTGCAAATTTGTTCGTTTTTAACGAAGTTTTTATGTCCCCTAATATTCTTCTTAGCTTTTAGAATTCATCTTTGGCGATCCCAGTGCATTTTCGAATCTCAGTGTCGAACTTTCTATCTTCTGTTAGAACACTTCCCAGATATTTAAACATTTGTACTTGTTTGATTTTAGTATTCTCGATTTGTAATTTGCATTTTGGGCTAGTTCTTTTGCTCATAATAATGCATTTTGTCTTTTTCTAGTTTATATTTAATCCTTTCTTCTAGCTTTCCTTTGCTAGTTTCCCTAAGAGCTTTTGTAATTTCTCTAGGAGTTCCTTTAGTTTCGTTTCTGTATCTGCTATCAATACTGTGTCATCTGCATATCTTATGTTGTTAAGATTGTGGCCACCAATAATGAATCCTGGGAGGACTTCTAATTCTCTCAAAAACGCTTCGCTGCATAGAGTGTAGAAATTTGCTGAGAAGACACATCCTTGTCTTACAACCATTTCTATATTTGTGTGTCTGCTGAACACATTTCCTATTTTGTATGCTGCCAGTATAGATTCTTGATTATTCTAATACAATAACTTCGACAATATTAAATACTGTATTCCAACACACATTAGTATGTTGCAAAAAGTTCTACTTAACATAAAATCAAATACTTGAAATTTCTATGCAGACAAGACTCAAAAAAAAAAAGAAATAACATATTCAGCCAGTAAACGTTGCAAAGTCCAGCAGGCTTTTCAGTCACTTACGAGTGAGAGGCTTAAAATGTGTCTCAACTGCTGTCTATAATGCTATCTTTAAAAATGTATTCTACTTAGTAAGTAGTATTTACTGGTTCTTTTTCGCGTCTTTGTAGATGCGTATATAACTGTGTGCGCGGGACGGTTGTGCGCATGCGTAGATCAGCACGCGTTAAACTTAAACGGATACGTTTCGCTATTCAACTGGCGGAGAGACGAGCGCCTATAATTGGCTTAGTAATATCATTAACGGAGTTGCTGAGGGCGTGGCCGGCAGGCTTAGCTGGTCTGAGCAGCCGAATCGCTAGGGAGAATGACGAACACAGATGTAAAAAAATAGGAATATATACATACAAAAATAAATAAATAAATAAATCAAGAGAATAGAATGAGGAAAGGACAGGAGAAAAAAATATCACCGATCCTCACCCACCCAAAAATAAATAAAATAAGCGACAATAAAATAATAAAAGGTTTGTTTTTGAGAAATGTATGCGTGGATCGCGTAGACATAGGGAAATATGAGAAATACTTCGGAGTAGTATAAGTAAAAAAGACAGGAAAGAAGAGATATGTATGTGGGAGAATCCTTAGGAGGAGGAAATTGAGACTAAAGACGGAAGGGTAAAGAAGAAGAAGAAGAAGAAGAAGAAAGAGGTGAAGGGAGAGTGTAATGGATAAATAAGAAAGAGCAGGAGGAGGAGGATAATGAAAAAAGAAGAAGAGATAAACTTAACAGCATTATCATTAAAAACAGAAAAACAGAAGAGACAAGTGAAAGAAGGAAAAATGTATAAAGGATAAGAACGAGAATGAAGAAGAAGAAGAAGAAGAAGAAGAAGAAGAAGAAGAAGAAGAAGAAGAAGAAGAAGAAGAAGAAGGAGGTGGTTAATAGTTTAGAGTACGGTAATTAACGACATAAAAAAATTAAGTGAAAGAACTGTAACAAAATTGTATAAAGAGTAAGAAAGAGAGAGAAGGAAGAAAAGAAAAAGAAAAGAAGGATGAGGATGAGAGGGAGGGATGAAGAAGGGTTACATCAGAGTAATCTCAACAAAAACAGAAAAGGGATGATAATTAAGAGGGAGGGGATGAAAAATGGGGGAACAGTATGTGTGCATAATACTTTAGAATACTCTAAGACAAAAAAGAAGTGATGATTAAGTGCCATAGATAAAGACTAAGAAAGAAGAAGGAACAAAGAAAAAGAAAACGAAAAAGAAGGAGGAAAATAATACTTAAGTGTACTCACTGAAAAGAAGCAATATTTAAATGGATGAAAATATAGAGAAGCTAAGAATGAATAAAAAAAATGAAATAGTATGTATTAGAACCAAGGAAGGAAGGAAAGAAAAAAGAAGGAAGGAAGGAAGGAAGGGAAGAAGGAAGGAAGGGAAGAAGTAAAGAAGGAAGGAAGGACGGAAGGAAGAAAAGGAGGAAGGAAGGAAGGAAGAAAGAAAGGAAGGAAGGCTGGAAGGAAGGCTGGAAGAAAGGGAAGAAGGAAGGAAGGGAAGAAGTAAAGAAGGAAGGAAGGAAGGATGGAAGAAAAGGAGGAAGGAAGGAAGAAAGAAAGGAAGGAAGGCTGGAAGGAAGGGAAGAAGGAAGGAAGGGAAGAAGTAAAGAAGGAAGGAAGGAAGGATGGAAGAAAAGGAGGAAGGATGGAAGGAAGGAAGAAAGAAAGGAAGGAAGGCTGGAAGGAAGGAAAAAGAAGGAAGGAAGAAGGAAAAGAAGGAAGGAAGGAAGGAAGGAAGGAAGAAAGAAAGGAAGGAAGGCTGGAAGGAAGGCTGGAAGGAAGGGAAGAAGGAAAGAAGGGAAGAAGTAAAGAAGGAAGGAAGGAAGGATGGAAGAAAAGGAGGAAGGAAGGAAGGAAGGAAGGAAGAAAGAAAGGAAGGAAGGCTGGAAGGAAGGGAAGAAGGAAGGAAGGGAAGAAGTAAAGAAGGAAGGATGGAAGAAAAGGAGGAAGGAAGGAAGGAAGGAAGAAAGAAAGGAAGGAAGGCTGGAAGGAAGGGAAGAAGGAAGGAAGGGAAGAAGGAAGGAAGGAAGGATGGAAGGAAGGAAGGAAGGAAGGATGGAAGAAAGGAAGGAAGGAAGGAAGAAGGAAAGGAAGGAAGGAAGGCTGGAAGGAAGGAAGAAGGAAGGAAGGGAAAAGAAGAAGGAAGGGAATGGAAGGAGGATGGAAGAAAAGGAGGAAGGAAGGAAGGAAGGAAAGGAAGGAAGGAACAAAAGAAAGAAAGGAAGGAAGGAAGGAAGGAAGGAAGGAAGGGAAGGAAGGAATAAGGAAGGAAGAAGGAAAGGTAAAGAAGGAAGGAAGGAAGGATGGAAGGGAAAAGGAAGGAAGGAAGGAAGGAAAAAAGAAGGAAGGAAGGGTGGAATGAAGGAAGGAAGGAAGGAAGGAAGGACGGAAAGAAGGAAGGAAGGAAGGATGGAAGGATGGAAGGAAAGGAGAAAAGAAGGAAGGAAAGACGGAAGGAAGGAAGAAAGGAAGGAAGGAAAGGTAAGTTGAAGAACAACAACAACAAAGGTTAATCTTTAAAAGTAGTATAAGTTAAGACAGAAAAGAGATAATTAAATGGAAGAAAATGAAAAAGGGTGAATTTGAATAAATGCAAAGAAGAAGCAGAAGAAGAAAAAGAAGAAGAAGAAAATATATTGAATGAATCAAAACTAACATAATTAAAATAAACAAGTAAATATTTAGTAACCTTCATATCGATAAGTAAAAAATATCACTAAGGATCGTATATACAATCAATTTCTAGAACAATCAATCAGTTCGTGATATGATTTTCACAATTTCTATAGACCTGATTTCTTCGCGCCAAAAATATGTCGTCAAATAGCTGTTCACTTGCATAGATTTCAAGTCGGAAAGATATCAAAAGTTTACTGTTCGGTTAGATGTACTTTAATTTTCATTGACTTTACGATATTATAGAAAAATAAATGACGAACACAGGTGTAAAAAAATAAGAATATATACATACAAAAATAAAAAAATAAATAAATCAATCAAGAGAATAGAATGAGGAAAGGACAGGAGAAAAAAATATCACCGATCCTCACCCACCCAAAAATAAATAAAATAAGCGACAATAAAATAATAAAAGGTTTGTTTTTGAGAAATGTATGCGTGGATGGCGTAGACATAGGGAAATATGAGAAATACTTCGGAGTAGTATAAGTAAAAAAGACAGGAAAGAAGAGATATGTATGTGGGAGAATCCTTAGGAGGAGGAAATCGAGACTAAAGACGGAAGGGTAAAGAAGAAGGAGAAGAAGAAGAAGAAGAAGAAGAAGAAGAAGAAGAAGAAGAAGAAGAAGAAGAAAGAGGTGGAGATATCAAAAGTTTACTGTTCGGTTAGATGTACTGTAATTTTCATTGACTTTACGATATTATAGAAAAATAATATTCGTTTCTTGTTTCTTACTATGTCTGCAGATCGCTAATCCCCAAAACAAACGTACACTGGTATATTAATTAACATATACAATCTCTTGTCTGCCACAACAAAGCTAAAAATGCATGTCTTTATATGAGCAATCTCGAAAGCGATTAAATATTTTAAGATTAAATATTTTAAGACCTTTTACGAAATATATAAAAAAAAAAAAAACAAAAGATAGGATGATGATGATGATGGCAATTAACTTTATGTCTTTCCTTTACCCCGAAATCATAGCGACTCATCGGGGGTATTTTTTTTTTATGACACTATTTATCCTCTATTACTACCGTTGTACTAAAGGCGTTTGGAGCCTCCACAAAATGAGCATTACCTGAATATTTCGCAACTGGCAAGTCAAATGTCTTGATTTTTTTTTATCATTATGCTCCAAGCATGGCAATAAAGTCACTAAGACGCAAGGATGTTACTGTATACGAAAGAATAGGAGAAAAAGAACAATTATCATTAAGGCGAGGGAATGATAAAAGAACATTAATTAAGAAGACAAATGATAACGATTGATATTCCATTTAAATTTTTGAAGATCAATGTTGACTGGAAAGAACTGATAGTTGCATGTAGCTAATTCAACTGTAAAACGATAACTTATTGCCAATCAAGAACTTGGCTTAAATTTATAAATTCTAGGTACCATAGTAGAAAGCTCATCAGAACAATTACCATGAATGTATTTATAGGAATGGCACGGGGAAGCGACATTAGGCGGTGGGAAAGCGATTGAAGCGGGATGCCAGGTCATGACCAATAACATTGCAGATCATTCAAACAAATAAAACTGCGAGTAAATCTCACAGAAATTATGACTAAAACCAGAAATAATTTTCAGTTACTTAGCAAAGATATTCAGAAATGTATTTGACTAATCACTTTTCATCGCCGTAATGTAGCTTCCGTGTATATTTCTATTAATATTCTTACGATAATTATTCAGATGAGTTATTTTCATTGGTACCGGAAGAGTGTTTGAAAACCGAAAACTGCGAGAGAAGGAACTGTTATCATAGAACTTACGGTTATTTCTAGCAATTTTGATTAGAAACTTATGAATCCTAACCCAGTACTGCGCTTAAACTCGTCAAGGTAGCAAAGTAAATAGGGCATCAGAATAATTTCATGTGTCATTTCTATAAATACATTAATGGTAATGCTCTGATGAGCTTTCCACTACGATACTCATTGGGGTTAACTTTTAGAATTGTTGTTTTATTCCCCTCCCCACACAGACAATGAATTGTAAATATGGGGACTAGTTAGTATTTTCATAGAGACAAAGAGGTATTATGGTGGTTGTAGTAAGAAAGGTACGAATGAATGTGTTGTTTTGGTGTAAGGAATACTGTGTCGTACGTTTGGGTCAGTGTTTGCGGCTAGCGAAGTTATAGTTAAGACAGAAGAAGACCGTCCTTTCCCCAATCCCCTTTTCGGCCTTGTGCTACATTTCTGTATTGTACAGAATAAATATCGCTTTCCACTACGGTACCTAGACTTTATAAATTTAAGCGCAGTACTAGATTGACAACAACGCCTCGTCGTTTTACAGTTGAATTGGCTAGATGCAACTAACAGTTTCTTTTCTTGCACTTCTCCCCTGTGGAACTCTCTTCAACCTTCTTGTATTCCAACCAACTTTGATTCAAAAATGTAAATTCAATGTCAATCTTTTATGCTGTCTTCTTGATTCCGCTACTTTGATTATTCTCACGACATCTTATTCTTTTGCACTCAATAACCCCTTGTGTATTAGCGGAAATGTTGGCTTGCTTGGGTAAAATGATTTAAGAAATTGTAAAATAATAAACAAGAATATACGGGGGGGCGATTTTTACATTTTTAATTTCGCGTACATGCGTTGTTTGTTTTTGATTTTGTCGACGGTACAATACAGTAGGGTCAGTTGGGCACAGTCTATGAAAAAAAGGGTGTCATGACGCAATTCTAACCGCCAAAAATTTGGAAACGACTTACTGTACTGCTTGTCATTCGCGCCAAAAGCTCCAATACGAACATTTCAGAGTGTCAATCTGAGGACAGTGCCGAGGTTTCGGAAAGACTTGGATGAGTCTAATGGTGTTTATGAAGGTATGGCAGCTCCAAAAACGCACTGTGAACGTTCTGATAAGAAACAAAACTCTCTAATTTATTGGTGAGGTCCTCAGATTCAACACTGAAACTTACATCAAGTGCTATGCGGAGGTAGTGCTAACCTGGTTCAAGAAGGTGGCTGCTGGTAGACCCTATTTCTAGCGAAAGGATTCTGCATCGTGCCACACAAGCAAGAGAAGACAGTCATGGTTGTCAGGAAGTTTCTGCGACATCACCGCTTACATCTGGCCACCTAAATGTCCATACTACAATCCCCTTGATTATTGTGTGGGGCGCAGATGATGGAGAGACAATCAAAACTCGCTGTAACACCAAAGATGAACTGAAGGCAAGGATTATGGCAGCATTCACCAATTTAAACATGGAGAACTTCCAGAAGAGTTGCTGAAAATTCCGAAGTGGCCTGGAGGCCATGGTTGAAGCCAATGACATTTTAATTGAATAAATTTACTCTTTGCTATTTCAAGATATTTATGTATAATTTTGATAAATACATCTGTTAAAATGAGATGACGGTGTTATTTTCATTTTTGCCTCATTTAGTCGACAAGATATCCATCGCACGCTGTAATTCTAAATAGATAGTTTTGCAAATAACTTGTAATTTTCCATTACTATAATTCCTTATTTTGACTTTATGACCATATAAAATAAATATCAAGTAATCTTTTATTTCCATATTAGCATTTAAATTCGATTTTGTATAATTAAACATTCTGTTAAAAAAAAAAAGGGAAAATACACTGAAGACAATATGTAACAGGAAAAAGTAGAATTTGTCGTAGAGTAGTTTCACAGTGGAGGCTTGTATTTCATTAAGTCGGTCCTAAAATAGGTTCGACGTACAAAACGTTAGGAACTTGATATAATAGTTAATGAGGCAGCAATCTAGTTGTGGTCGCTGATACTTTAATATCCGACTAACGGTTGTCCGGCATCGACTGACTGACCAACTCACTGAGGATATTTAGTCACCCCCGCCACCACGAGGGCATCATGTGGCACAAGGCCGGTTTAACGTGGGATCTCCGAGCCCGTGGGCTTAGCCAAAAATATGCCCATTGAACCCGTATAAACGGGTTCAGGGTCGGTTTACCTCCCCGAAAGAGAATCCGCCCTTCGGCGTAGCCTCGTTCGGGTTCCTCCCCGCCTGAAGGCAGAGAGTTCAACCGGTCAGCTGGTCGTCCAACTTCAGACTGAACTGAGACCAACTCGCTGAGCAATTGGCGACTGCTACTACTCCTAGTTATTATAGGTGGGAAAGTCTATTAACTATAGAATAGGTGTATTCCAGTATAACAGAAGTAAATGATCTATTTACAATATTTTAAATAGTGTATTTGATACCCCATGGTTGCTAAAATTGTAAGAATTCCATATAGGTATCTGTTCCCCTCATCTCTAATGGTAATCCTAATATTAACCGTTTCTTATGTGAAAACGTTTGGCATTCATTGACTGAAGAGACAGCATTACTCGAGTTACGCTATTCTTCAATGCTTGGGGATCGAACTGGAATCAAAGGGTAGTTTGTGCCTTTGGGCGGACAAACTACAGTATATACTGGTGTACAGACCGACTTCAAACAAGTGCGGGTAGTTAGCATCTTGATTATGTCATTATTTTGTCTTCAATTTTCCATTTTGCTCTTGTTGAAAGTCCTCAGTGTCTGTTGGCAGAGTTATTCGCGATTCATTAATGACAATTCACGAAAAAAGAATAGTCCACTACAATGTTCATTTGCTCGTAGTCATTTTTAATAATTGCTCTGAGAGTGTATATATTTGATGGTTGGAACATGGACATATGCCATGAATAGCATCAATATGGAAGTTTCGATCTGACAATTCTAGTTTGAGTTAAATGGATGGTGTAATGGATAGCGGTTCAGACTGGGATCGAAGAGTCGAGTTCGAATTCCAGTTAAAACCGTTATATTCATTTACGTGCTAAAACCTTTGGGAAATTATGAATCCTCTACTTCTCTCCCCAGCTACGGGTAAATAGTAGGATATACCGGATTCTATAGCCTTAAATGGCAACAGGTCTACTGCAGAAAGAAATGGCAAGCTATGCCGGAAAAAATCTGATACGTCAGTCATGTATCGAAAGATACAAGATTGCTTAAACGTGTATCATGCATGGCACTTAAATGTCTGACGTACACAGGTTCCAAAACCAGTCGAAAATCATAACTACTTTTAGCCTATATTGACGCAGTTTATAATCTCCTTGGATTTTAACAAAAAAAAACTGCGCTAGTGACAAATGGTGGTGCAATAGGTCAGCAAGAGTTACAAGCGTTTCTTCATATATTTTATACTAAAGTTCAAGGGGTGCTGAATTATGTTTATGATATAAATATAAAATAAGGAATTGCAGTTGAAGATTGTCTGGATATCGTCTTGAAGAGATTAAAATTAGAATGTTCAAGGAAGATTTCCACACGGGAGTTTATTTTACGGAAAAAGCTGGTTGAATGGGACTTATTCCATCAAATAGTATAGAAGAAATATGGTAAATAGGTGGAAATAACCTATACTTATTTAATAAAGGATAAGTTTAGCAATCGTACCGGCCTACGCAGGTGGTCGGGCTTACGGCCATCTCATGTTGGAACACCGTTTCTCGTCCGATAACCGAAGTAAAGCAACATCGAGCTTTGTCAGTACCTAGATGTGCAACCCCTTGGAAATTTAAAGTGTTGTAAGCTTGGATGTGCATATGGGGTAATAGATAACGTCTTGGAAGTGGAATTATATACACTTACGCGCAAATGGCCCTCGAAAAAGTGGGAGCTCATTTCTTCTCCCTGTTGCTTACTTTATAGAACTCGTATTAGTAATTCGTTATTATCTTCAAGAAATTCTTACAATCCAAAAATATTTCCTCGTATTAAATAAACTGCAAATGGTTGATAATCCTTAAAAATAAAAAAATCAGTCAATCAATATAGAGGTGGTCGAACATCATACAGCGTATCTTGAGCAACGCAGGTATTATGCGTCACGACATCATCTATGGGACGAACTAATGGTAGTCGACTGCAGTCATTGTTCCGTAGTAGACGTCTCGGTTGTGTTGTTGTGTTAGTCTCCAAGACTGTATTCAAGCCTAATACAGCAACGTAGCACAATTAATGCTATTTATTGAAAGTCACACAACATCGTTTTTTTTCTGAGAATAATAAGTAGCACACTGCATCTGTTTTGCAATTGATTTTCTTATCTTCCCAAGTAGGGAAATTTAGCCGATTAATTATTAGTGACGGAAAGGGTGTATTGAGTGACAGGCATTCGGTTATTCTAGCATTTCAGACACATATTAAGAATATTCTCATTGAAGAGGTTTGGTGAAAGAAAATTCTTTTTTATCAGGAAATATCACGTTCTCGCTAAATGCTGATTCGTCAATTTACGAAGCAATGAAATTGCATTGCTATATCCTGTTTCGATTTTGCCTTTTGTTTTGTGGGACAATTGACCATCAACTGACCCTATCAAATATATTGTATTTCAGAGATACGATATATATCACAAAACCTGTGTGTCTGTTTATTATTTTTATATTTTTCTTCTTCTTAATCATTAATGCTAAACTATTTCCTTATGGAACAGCATATAGTGTTTGAGTAAAAGAAATGACACCGTAATCAGTGTCACAAAGTTCTAGTACCTTTCCCCACAAATATCAAAGGCAGTAGAGAGTTGCAAATTATAGCACCCAACACTATAGATTTAAGCAGCTGTAATGTGCGATGACACTCCAGATCATAGGTCCGGCGGAAGAGAAGAGCAATGGCGCAATGATTGAAAGACTATCAAGAATTTAGAATCAGTTAAAAAATTCATATCTCAAAAATAAATATAATTTCAAAATTTAAAATATTATTATGGATTACTTTTAATTGTATGAATAAGTCCCAATATAAATAGTTATTAATAATTGTGGACCGATTTTATCATTGTGATATTTTTGCATTATATCAAGTATTAAGAATATAATAACTAGCGGCCGCAAATTGAAGGAGAGAGTTATCAATGATAATGTTCTGACTTCGAATCCGCGGTTATCTCCCTTTAAAAAAGGTTTGGGAACGACTGCTCTAGAGTACCTTACTTCTCAAGTCTACGGCTTAGAAGGTAATCGATTGTAACTTATATGAAGGTAGGACCTACTCAAATCACGGAGGAATTTAGTGCGTTATTTGCTCTACTAGGTGAGTCGCTTGCGAAATCAATATTGACGCTATATTGTGGCGTATTTAGAGATATAGTATGAGGCACACGTGATTTTTTTTTTGCCTTATGCAAATGAATCCAACCTCTCCCTGCAGGGATTCTTAGTACCAAATATACAGTCATTTGTGCGGTGAGCACCGTTTGGACTGCCACTGTTGCAATTACTTTGCTTCGACTTTAACGAGGCTAAGGAGTCCAGAAAACTATTCTACTTGAATATAAATATTCATTACCAACTCTGTTGGCAATATCAAAGCGTCATGTTTAATATATGCAACAATATTCCGAAATGATAATCCAGCCTCTCAAAGGCCTACAGTATAAACCCTTTCAAAGGGATTTCATTGGACCAACGGAGCGTGTATATATTTCTATCATTTCTGCCTTAGTTTCGGTGATCAGGATTTATCGTTATTTACATTGTCTACATGTGGCCTATGGTCCTTATCTTTGGTGTTATTATCACAACGTTTCGACCGATCTGTTCTCCAGCCTATAATTTCGAACTGAACTCTTTATTTAATCAACGCAGCTAGATTGTTTTCTTTCTGTTGTTCATAGATAGGGATATTTTTTTAAAGAAATTCACCCTAAGCAAGGCGGGAGAGTCACTAGTATGCAATGGGTTACAGAGGATTGAGGACAAGAGTAAAGAAGCGTGTTTGAGGCAAGAATACAGAGAGGGACAGGCAACAAGCTCACGGTGTCAGATGTCGATCGACATTACACTTTAATATATGAAGATTATAGTCATCGGGGAAGGAAGTAAGAGGAAGGGAGTTCCACAGACGGGAAGTGCGAGAGAAGATGTTTGAGTTGAAGAGACGGTTGCAATTAATCGTTTTGACAGTGAAAGGGAGGGACCGAGATGTCAAGCTGGTAGCTTACTTAAATTCATGCAGTCAACCAGCAAAAGTAGCTCGCCGGAACAGTTGCCGTGAAAATAATTTAAAAGAGACAGAGGGAAGTATGTCTGTGAGAAAGTCATTGTAGACTAGATGCCAGATCAGGACCTATCATCTTGCATATTCGTCTCTGGATTTTGTCGAGGACCTCAAGACGTACAGCAGGGACACCAGACCATATATGCCAGCAATATTCTATGCAAGGACGGATGGTTGATTAATAGATTTGACACGACATAGAGAACCAGCTATCCTTGCGGTAGATGAAGCTGTTGATGTCTTGTCTAGTTCTTATTTAGCACTCTTCAGTTATTTATACGCTCTGTTTCGACTGAGTCGAATAAACGTTGGGGTAATAACAACAAAGATGGAGACAATAGTTCGCATGTAAGCAAGTTAATGTATCTATGCATTGTGAGACATACTGGATGAGGAGTTCTTTCATTACACTGAATATGAAGGCTGAAGACTTTGAATTTTTTTTTCAGAATCTATCTACCCTATGGTAGCCTATGGAGGCCACAGATCAAAATCGGCGTCACCCTTCCAGTTGTTGGAGATTTGTTTTCTATCAGTTTAAGAAGAGGACACACAGACGAACAGAGAGATTACAGGTCTGCGTGCACCCAATCACGAGCAAGTGGAGACAGATGAAGAAAGAAATAACAACAGAATCTTATTAAGATAGGTTTCTAGAGTTACTTCTCTCTTCATCGACAATCTGGGAAATATACAGTACTGTGACTATTACAACCAAAACTAAATAAGAAAAAGGGAAAAGAACGAAAAGAATATAAAAGAACAAAACATGGTCCTCAGAAGAAAGGACTGGAATTACAAATTGGTAAAGAAAAAAAAAATAAGATAAAAAGACACTCATGCGAATCGATAAAATAAGTTGCTAAATAATTTGGGCGAAAAAGAAAAAAACGCGACAGACAAACGGAAAGAACTGCCTGTCTTGTACAGAAAAGAATGATGAAAGAACGGAAAGTAATTTTTTTACAGGGTCTCCTCAGTATTATATACTTCAAACGTCTTCACACAAACCTACGCAGGCATTCGACCACAGATAAACAAGCAATGGCTTACAGATAAAGCACGTATTTATATAAATGTACACTTGTGCTTACATGTGTCGATGTAAAGGGACAAAGGTAGAAGGCAATAATGTGAGGAAGAAAAAAGAAAGAATTAAAACAGAAGTAACAAAGACAGAAAACATTTACAGAAGAAGAAAAAACGATCAATAACAGGAGGAATGAAAAATATACTATAAAGGAAAGAAAGAATGAAATGTGCGCTGCCAAAGGAAAAGAAGGTTAGACCGAAAAGAAAGAAAGAAAGAAAGAAAGATGTTACTCTAGAAGTGAGGAAGAAAGACAATTAATTCAGCACATGAAATAATGAAAGAAAGAAACATTTAAGGAAAATAAAGTTGATAATGAAGAGGAAAAAAAGAGAAATATTCTATAGAGAATAGACAATAAAAAAAGTAATGAAATAAAAACAGTCAAACGTATAAGAAAGAAAGAAAGAAAGAAAGAAAGAAAGAAAGAAAGAAAGGTAATCACAGACAGAAAAAAGAGAATTAGAAATGTATTGTAGGGAAAATATCAGTGATAATAAAAACCGATTAAAAACCCAAGAGAAAAAAGATAAAATGCTCAAGAGTGGATGAGAAAGAAAGAAAGAAAGAAAGAAAGATTTTCACTAAAAAAGAGAATGAGAAATTTATTGTATAGAAAATGTAATTGATAATGAAAAAAGAGAAAGAGGTCCAAAAAGGAAGAAGACTGGTGTGGATAAGAAAAACTGAAAGGAACAAAGAAAGAAAAAAAAAGGAAGAAAAAAAGAAACAAAGATACAAAGCAATAAAAAAGAAAGAAAAAAAAACAAAGAAACAAAGAAAAAAAACAAACAAAGTAAAAATACTAGTCCAGCAGAATAAACTAATGAATATAAAGTAAAAATATAAAACAGAACTCAAAAAGATAGAAAGAAAGAAAGATGATTTATAAGAAGAAATGAAGCAAGAAAGGAAACAAGTTCAACACATGAACTATTGAAAGAAAGAGATATTCAAAGAAAATAAAGATGAAAGTGAAGGAAATAAGGAGAAATATTCTATCGAAGAAAAACAATAAAATGAGAGATTAAATGAGTAACAGTATTATAAATTAAAAAGAAAGAAAGAAAGCATGAATGAACACAGACAGGGAGTAAAAAAGAAAGACCTTTATTAACAGAAAAAAGAGTATGATAAATTTATTGGAGAGAAAATATTATCGATAATAACAGGCAAAAAATCTAAAAGAAAAAGTCAAACGTATAAGAAAGAAAGAAAGAAAGAAAGAAAGAAAGAAGAGGGAAAACTAGTACGACACATAAAAGAGGAAAGACAATAAAACAATGGGTGGAAAGAAGAGAAAAATAAATCGAAATAAAGAAAGAATGAAAGAGAAAAAGAAAGAGAAAAAAGAGATAAAAACTAGTACAACACATATAAGAGGCAAAACAATAAAACAATGGATGAAAAGAATAGAAAAAATAATTCGAAAGAAAGAATGAATAAATGAAAAATGGTTCACCAGTAGAAACTGATAGGTAGATAAAAAGAGAGAGGGGGAGGGAGGAGAAAGAAAAACACGACGTAACTAGGGAAATAAACAAGTAAATGCCTTGTTTAAACATTGAATAAATCTAAAAAATGAGACAAAAAGAAGGAAAAGTAAGAGAGAGCGGGGGAGGGAGAAAGAGAATATAGAATTCGCAAAAGAATTTACAAAAGCAACTTTTAAAGACCGCATGAATGAATAATTCAGGAAAAACGTAAATAAACTAAAATGGAACAAAACTGTAAAAAAAAAAGGTAAAATCCGGAAGGAAGTAAAGAATAAATAAAGAAAATAAAGAAATGAAAATGAAGGAAGCAGACACGGTTACTTCCCTTGATTCGCTTCTCATCCCTCTTCTTCACATCGTCTTGTTGCCGACTGTACATTTTCTTAACTGCTGTCACATTCGAGAAGCACAATTTTGTCCCATCATCTAGAGAAATGTTTGCCCCAGGACACAACACTCTCAAGAAACCTTCTGCACATCCGTCTTCGTCAATCCCAGAATTCTTTATATTTTTTTTTCTTTTTATATTCTTTTGTAGTTGTTCCATTTCTGCAATTTGCAGACGATTCATTTGCCTTATCTTCCTTTTCCCTCATACTATTAATGCCATCTTCCTCAGACAGGCAGTTTTCATCTCTCTCTCTATCTATCTATCTATCTATCTATCTATCTATCTATCTATCAGTTTGTATCTCTATCTGTTCATCTGTAGATACAGGGCGAACCCAAAAATGTACTCATTTTTTGACTTCCTCTAATTTCATGATTTCAAGTAATGGTTTCTGGAATGAACTAGGGTCGACTGTTAGGTTTTTGCTGGAATTTTTTTTGTATAAAACTCTCCATTCAAGAGACAAAGACAAGGACAGCAGAACATGCTAGAAAGTCGAGAGGGGAGGTTCCATCATGTAAAACCGAAAGTTGTCTCAGACTGTCTTCGCATCATTGTAAAATCTTTCTATGGAACAGTACGTCGGGAAATGCCTTCGATTTGGAATCAATCTGGACACAGATTAGGAAATGGTCTGACGTAGTGAATGTATATCTTTTGATAAGCATTTATCAAGGCAGGAGGTTAGGATGAGGGTGAGGAGGTTCGTCTGACGTCCAATCGTGTCCGGGTAGGTTCTCTGATGATCTGGGTTAGCTCATAAGTGAGGGATAAGTCTCTGCATTATTTCTGCTTACAACATAGGTTTTGATGGAGTGGAGTAGCCATGTTTTATGATGGATATTGAAAACACCGCAGATATGAAAGCTGGCCGAGGGGAATTGAGTGAGTATATTATCAATCTTCTGAAATATCAAACTTAAGTGGAAAGCAAGAATCCCGAAAGAGAGAGATCCCGAAGCGAGAAGTGCAATATAAGAAACTGTTAGCATAGAATTTATGCTTACATCTAGCCATTTCAACTGTAAAAGGATGACACATTGCCGCCAATCTAGTACTCCGCTTGAGTTCTGACCTCCATAGAGGAGAGTTCATCAAAACAGTTACCATGAAAGTATTTACAGAAAAGCGCAGGGAAGCTACATTATGGCTGTGAGAAAGTAACTGAAGCTGAGATACCGTGTCATGACCAGTGAAGTTGCAGATTTTTTGTATTTCAAGGATCTCTAAATATATAGCAGAAGCATCAGACCATATGTGGCAGCAATATTCTAAGTATGGACGAATTGTAGATTTATACATATGTAAGATATATTATGGTGAGGAAATTAGTTAGATAAAGTGAACCTGTAGAATAACAATAATAAACAGCACTTACCGGCGTAGAGTCCCAGCTAGCGTCAGCTGGCAGACAAAAAATAAAGCAGGTTGTAACTTAATACAAACCCTGAAAACTAACTGAGAAATCATGCTAGTATCTATATAGAAATACTTCCACTCAGGTACCAGCAGCCAATCACAGCCAAACAATGGGCTATCCCACTTTAGCATAATGAGATGCTCCATTGCACCATAAATAGCTCTCTTTCTCAATGTTGAATTAGTATTCACTCAGCTTGCTCCACAACTGAGTGTTTATCTTGACCACGTGATTGTTCGACATGGCACTTAAAACTAGCAACAGGCCTAATAATTCATTCAATATAATTTTTCCAATTCATCTCAACGGAAAGCGTTAGTGCTATAGGGTGCAATGATTCAATATCCTGGAAGTTAGCATCGGCCATGTTGATTAAAGAGACTATTAATAAACAGCAGTTTTTTTTTTGTTTTATTTTTGGAATCGTTGAAATTATGAAGCCATTACTTGCCCAAGTTGACAACAAAATGTGGGTGGTTTTTTTAAAAATCTGCTGCCAATTTGACCTTATCGAAAATGTATTTTATACTTTTAAAGTTTTTTTTTTTTAAGAGTTCACTATTTTCCCATTGTCAAAGATCCAACCACCCCGAGTCAGGGTGACCCTGGGAACAACAGCAAATTAAGAAGCGTGTTCACACTCCTCAAAAGCTCCAATCTCTTTATCAGAGACCTTGCTACTGGATGTAATTTATCGCTTTTCAGTGTAGTCAGGAATTATTATACAATGGTTTTAATTCAATCATCAATATTACGAGGGGGTGCAGAAGTGTTCTCGGCATGACCCACTTCCCCAAAATACAACCAAATATTAAACAAGTTCTTTGGAGCAGGGAGTTTTAGTTATACGACATTTGTGTGCTTCTTTATTTTTGTCTATTTTCGGCTGACGAATTCCTTGTCATTTTTATGTTTTTACCTATTTCTATAAACCAACATTGTCTTTTTTTTCTTTCTTTTATTGTTTATTTTTATTGTTTATTTTCATGAAAATTTTTTCAACCCGTTCAATTTATTTTCATTTTGTTAGTTTTAAATTGCCTCTCTTGAATATAGTGATTTTCAACCGTTCAAGGCCGAAATATCAAATGAACTCACATCATTTGTTATTTTTAAATCTAACCATTGTCTCTTGAATATAACCGTCATAAGATTTACTATTCTTATAATTCTGTTAAGCCTTCTTTGAGCAACAGGGACACAGCCCAGTTATTACCCCTAATACGCTTTTCTCTGCTTTCTTCATATTTTATTTACTACTGGGGTTTTGAAAAGTTTTTGCATGTAAAGTGGATATTATATTGTAATAAAATAACCCAGTCTTTTTCCATGATTACATTATTCATATACACATATACCAAACATACATTCATTTCTCGATCTCTGAGCAGGTCGACTATCTAGATAAGTCTCTTGAATCTTTCGCAATTTTCTGAATTTATAAAGAGTGTTTCATTAAGACGGAATCAAAGTTAGGAGTAAATAAATCAGTGTTATTGGTGAAAATTTATTTATTTCCCGATTGGATCATGTTATGTATACCATGGCAATTATGTGTGAAAAATAATATCTCCCAAATGCCCGTCAAGGCTTCGGCAGCACACCTCCACTCGATGGTCAAAATTTTTGATGACATCTCTGCATAGTTGCTCCTCGATCTTACCAATATGTCTTATTATCTCATCCTTCAACTGTTGAATTGTTGTTGGCTTGTTGGCATAGAGCATACTTTTGAGATGACACTAAAGGAAGAAATCTAAAGGCGTCAAGTCGCACGATTGGTGCCAATTTTTCGATGTTTCGAGATGATGATGCGACATGAGAATTTCTCATTGCATTTCTGTTTGAACGTCCATTTTCGTAAAAGGCTTCGATAACTTTAAACGTTGTTTGATTGTTAATCTTTCTATGGTTGAAATTGACAAGACTTAATTTGTTAAATCTGAAAAAAAAAAATAACGCTTAATTAGACGCTTAAATTTATTTTTTACATTTAAAATCGGTTTTATCTAATGGAACTTAATTAACTTCCCAATGTAATGCCAAATATATATATATTTCGTTATATACGCGTCTTTATTTGTAGAATAATAGTACTTTTCGGGAGAGTTTAGTATTTTTATTTCGTTTATATTTATTTTCATTTCTTCTTCCAACGATAAAACAATATATATATATATATATATATATATATATAGATACGGCCGGGCAGGCCACATCCAAACATATATCGCGTATCTGTATATATATATATATAAAGGCAATTAACAAATTCGAGGCAGTTAATAATTAATGGACTTAATTTTGTTTGCATTTTTTTACCCAAAGATTGCCACTGGGGATTGAGTGAGTTCGCGTCACTGGGTGTACTGTCGGACCGTCCCACGTCACTACGCTTGGAGAATCAACTGCGTTTGTGCACGTGACGTGCGTGATGCCTGTGCAAATCCTTGTGTTCATTTACGTGCTAATACCATTGGGAAAAGCGTATGTAATGCGTGTGCCTTAATACTTTGCTATGTGGAAAATAGGAGGAGAATGTCTACTCTTAAACAATTGGGCACAACCATCAGTTCATGGATAACTGTAAATCCAACATCTGAGGGTTACTCAACGAAGAAGGGTGACCTTAGTGTGATATTTCCTAAACGTAAAACGACATATAATCATGCAATGTTGATTTTTATGCCAAACTCAGTTGACACGCACAAACATATACATACACAGACACATACATAGCCGCTGTACGCTCCGTTTTTCGTCAAGTGATGGGAGAAATGGAAGGGAATAAAAATACAAAAAAAAAGCGACCCAGGAAGAACATCTACATTAAAACTTCAAGGCCGAACCAATCTTTAAATTTGAGACATACAAAATAATATGGGGGAGTTCAATACATCTACACAAAATATAATATATATAATAATAATAGCTGACCATTCTTATTCGAGGATACCCGTCTACTAAGGGGCCTAGGCAATCCCTGTTGCAGACTCTCGCTCAGGAACATTTGTGTATTTTCAACACCCACAGAACCAAACTATGGTTTATACTGCAACTATACTGAGCAGTTACAGTTTCTGGGTGAGAGCGTGGTACAATCTGAACAACTTCAAGACAGTCAAACCCTCTGGTATTTGACGTTCTAACTTCGTTCTAGATAAAGCTATTCAAAATAATTGAAAAATCTAATCGTGTTTATTTACAACCCGTGGTATAATGTTTTCAAATTTACGGAAATAAAACTGCAATATTCTGTTCAAACATCTAAATGTGTATATATATATATATATGTATGTATATATATATATATATGTGTGTGTGTGTCTGTGTGTATACAAAATCTACATCGCGCTCATATACTTGCACGTGCGTATAAATATATATTTCGGCAGTTTTAGATGAATATGTGTATTTGAAACAGAGCTATATATTTTATATGTGTGAATATGCATAATATCCAACGTCGATAGCACGGCTGGGAGATTCATGCAGTTCATGCAATCTCCAGGTGCAAATATAGAGAATATTTTGTATGTGTGTGTATTCGCATGTTTTTTAACAAAAA